TTTTTTTACCTACGCATTAATAGCAGCAACGATTTCCATAGCTAGAAGGTGGCGAACTAAAACTCTACCGAATTGGGACATAGTAAAAAATCTACTAACTTCGCAATTTAGGATGGAGGGAGGTTTGAATAAAAATCTGAAGAAAAAAAATAAATTTCACATAAATAAGTGGTTAAAAAATTGTCGGCAGTAGATTAATATATAAAAAAGAGGAAGGGAAGAAAAAAGGAAGAGAAAGGAGAAAAAGGGGAAGAGAAAGGAGAAAAAGGGAAAAAGAAAAAAAGGGGAAGGGATGAGTAATCTTTTACTTTAGTGAATAACCCTTTAGTAACTAATAGAAAGATTCTGTAGTAGTATATCCCCACTGGATTTAAACTAAAGTCACTAATTATTGTTTATAATTAATATTTATGTAAGCAATTTAGTTTATGTAAAAATTTATATAGAATTAAGGGAATATATGTATTTTTATATTTAAATACTAAGATTTTGAAAGATAATCTCATGTGAAGTATGATATACAGTGCGTTGCAAAAGTATTCACCCCCTTGGCATTTTTCGTGTTTTGTTGCTTTACAACCTGGAATTAACATGGACTGTTTGAGGATTTGCATCATTTAATTTACAGATTTTATTTTTTTTATTGTGAAGCAAACAACAAATAGGACAAAATAACAGAAAAAGTCAATGTGCATAACTATTCACCCCCCTAAAGTCAATACTTTGTAGAGCCACCTTTTGTGGCAATCTCAGCTCCAAGTCGCTTTGGATAAGTCTCTATGAGCTTGCCACATCTTACCACTGGGATTTTTGCCCATTCCTCCTTACAAAACTGCTCCAGCTCCTTTAATCTGGATGGTTTGCGCTTGTGAACAGCAATCTTTAAGTCTGACCACAGATTTTCTATTGGATTAAGGTCTGGGCTTTGACTAGGCCATTCCAACACATTTACATGTTTCCCCTTAAACCACTCAAGTGTTGCTTTAGCAGTATGTTTGGGGTCATTGTTCTGCTGGAAGGTGAACCTCCGTCCTAGCCTAAAATCATGCACAGAGTGGTACAGCTTTTGCTCAAGAATATCCCTGTATTTAGCACCATCCATCTTTCCCTCAACTCTGACCGGCTGCTGAAAATCATCCCCAAAGCATGGTGTTCTTTGGGTGATGTGATGTGTTGGGTTTGCGCCAGACAGAGCGTTTTCTTTGATGGCCGGAAAGTTCAATTTTAGTCTCATCAGACCAGAGCACCTTCCTCCATACTTTTTGGGAGTCTCCCACATGACTTTTTGCAAACTCAAAACGTGCCATTTTGTTTTTTGCTGAAAGTAATGGCTTTTTTTCTGGCTTTCTCTATGGAGCGTACGGCTTATTGTTGTCCTATGTACAGATACTCCAGTCTCTGCTGTGGAACTCTGTTACATGCTGTCCTTCAGGGTTACCTTAGGTCTCTGTGCTGCCTCTCTGATTAATGCCGTCCTTGGCGGGTCCGTGAGCTTTGGTGGGCGGCCGTCTCTTGGCAGGTTTGCTGTTGTGCCATGTTATTTCCATTTGGTTATGATAGATTTGATGGTGCTCCTGGGGATCATCAAAGTATATAGAATATTTTTTTATAACCTAACCCTGACTTGTACTTCTCAACAACATTGTACCTTACTTGTTTGGAGAGTTCCTTGGTCTTCATGGCAGTTTGGTTAGTGGTGCCTCTTGCTTAGGTGTTGCAGCCTCTGGGGCCTTTCAAAAAAGGTGTGTAAATGTAATGACAGATCATGTGACACTTAGATTGCACACAGGTGGACATCATTTCACTAATTATGTGATTTCTGAAGGTAATTAGTTGCACCAGAGCTTTTTATGGGCTTCATAACAAAGGGGGTGAATACATGCACACATGCCAATTTTCTGTTTTCTATTTCTAAAAAATAGTTTTATGTACGTATTTTTCTCATTTCACTTCACCAACTTAGAGTATTGTGTTCTGATCCATCACAGATTAATAAAACATTGAACCTAAGGTTGAATGTAACAAAATAGGTCAAAAGTCAAGGGGTGTGAATACTTTTGCAAGGCACTGTATAAATCTTCCTATATGTTGCTAGATAGAGTAGATTAAATACTGACGTAATCCATGCAGTGTAAGAACTACTATTATATTTTGGCAAATGTATAATTACTATTTGGAAAGCAAAGCACTTTGAGAAAAAGTACTTTTACAAACTAGAATCATGATGTGTATGTTGAGAAAGTTGGGCATTGGGACCTAATTTCCTTTCCAGAGTCTCCGCACTATATTCTCACCCTACAGCGTGTCTACAGATAATTTGTGCCTAAACTGTCCCAATGCGCATTTCGACTAGTAGCGAAAGAGCCATTACTTGGCGAAACTCGCTTCGGGACAGTGAGCAGTGAGATAAGGGACGATGCTGCAGCACATCATGAGCTAATAGATAGCCACCACACAATGCTTTTACCCCAGATAGCTATGCCATGGAGCCAATTCGTATAACGAAAGACTATGTGAAAGACTTTGGCTCCATGGCAATTGAACTATATGTATGTGATCTGAGCGCCATTCAGTAATAATGTGCGCTCAGGTCTAAGCTATCTGGGGATATGTTGAATGTACCTATTTTATGCAATAGCTGCACAGTTATATATTTTTATGTATTTTATTGTCTTTTGCTACCATGTGTTCAATGGAGTTTTGCCTCTGTCCTTGGAGATAATTGGATTACTTCCCAATTATCTCCAGGATAGAAGACTCTGTGGAACTGCTTTTGGGCAGAAAAGCCATGCTTCATTTGGTCATAAAGGACTTCCAGATAACTTTTTAAGTACTGGATGGATTTGGCTGAATTTTGGTTATGTTTATATTGAAAGTATGCTGATTCTGAGAATGTAATTTTATGTGAATGTTATGTATACTTTTAAAGTTATGAATAATGTGGAAAAACTGTATTTCTCTGCCTGTGATAATTACATTAACCTATTGTGTAAGGTAATTGTATCACAGGCAGAGGGGAGGATTTTGTGTGAGAGTGTCTGAGTGTATTGTATGTGTTTATTGGTTGTTTTACAAAACCCTGTGGGTGGTACTAATGTGTAAGAATGTGTATTTAAGAACAATAAACCCACAGCTCTGTCTGATCACTGCTTGACCCTTAACACGGAGCTTTGTCTCGTCTTTGGGGGGATTTACTGTATGCTGTTAGAGACTGATTGCCAGGAGTGTAAGCCGCTTGGGTGCTTTTCCTGTTCGTCTGCTAGCAGCTATTCGTATGGTTCCAATTCGGAAGTTTGGAGCATTCCCTTGTATCCAGTTCAGGAGTTTGGTGTTCTGCAGTAGCTGTGTCTGTGTCTCTGGAAGGGAAGATCTACTAAACGACTTTTAACCCCTTTTATGCCTGTGGGTGCATAAAAGGGGTTTCTATTTAACCATTAGGTAGCAGTTGTTTAGTGTGGAGGGTGTTCTTCGATCGTTAACTATTTGGTTTCTACTGGTATTTTTATATAACTTACTTTGGGAGAAAGGAGGGTTTAGATTTTTCTTTAAAGGATGCCCACAAAGGCACATAGGTTATATCCATTTAGATCTATAGGCCATCCCCTTCCTATATTACTGTTTGACTCTCTCCCTTGCTTTTGTTCTATTCAATCTGTCAGATTATTTCTAGTTAGTACACCTTCATACTTTTTCTATATTGTTATTACAATATATTGTTATTACACTGCTACTATTTATTTCAACATTTGTTTGTTTCTTCTCCCTTTATGTTTTGCAACTGAAGCAGCTCACTCTACAATTCTGCTTCGGTTGGCTAGGAAGTTTTCTATTTGATTTATTATCCTCCGCACCCCCTCCCCCCCTGTTTTTCCAATATCATCATTCTCCTATACTTATGTTGGTTCTTGGATTTTAATAGCCTGTTGCTGGCTATCTAGTTTACTATATAACTCATACTCTATATATATATTCTAAAATCCAATTTTATATTGAATACAATAAAGATTATGTTTTATTCATTAATGTATTATTTTTGGGTTGCTTTCTACATAAGGAATGGTCAGGGTTGTGAGGTATTTAAACTGTTTACCTCCAATCCTCCCTTCCTCTTCATTCTAACATTTATATTCTATTAGGGGTTACCCCCCACATCATATTAGGCAACCTGACACACTCTCCCTGGGTACAACCTTTTTTTTTTCTCTTTTTTTTTTTGTGTGGCTTTTTTAACCTCTTTCTTATATTCATTTTTTTCTCATACACTTTCTCCGCATCTCTTAGGAGCTTTAGCAGATACAGGTTATTTATCTTCACTAATGCTATTCATGATCTACCACACACTGCACTACTCTAACTCGTTTCATCACTCCACTCCCATCTTGTCTCCGGCTCAGTATTCAGAAGCTTTTTTGCTGTGCTGTGAGTCGATAGGAAGAGATCCTGTGAGGAGTCAAGTTGTTCCTATGTGTACGCTACAGGGCAAAGGATGGAGATGCTTAACATTAGGTGCTCATACTGATTCTTGCCCAATGCTCCACATTGATTCAATTTAACGGTTTACTCCATATTTTGACAGATATTATACGAGACTAATATTATTTTCATTGTCCATGCCCAACAATATTGCTCATTTCTTATTTTGCTACTCTTCTGATACTTCCTCTTTGCAGGAAGAATATACATAATAAAAGTCTATTTGAAAAAATATAGATCAAGTAAGCAGGTGTAGTCCCAGAAGGTTTGTGTGTATATATATATATATATATATATATATATATATATATATATTGGAAGGCGGAGCCTGAAGTTGTGGGAGGGGTTACCCGGCTATTTAAACTCAGGCCCCCTACACCACAGGGCTGATGCTGCCGGGTTCATTTCTACTTCCGGTTCAAATGTCATCGACGCAGACTGCCTAAAACTCCAAACAAGCTGCTCTGGGCCTACTGTGGCTCCCACGCTGATCGGACCAACTTCTCCCTGCTCCAACAACTCCCATCATGCTGTTCCAGCCGCACACAGTCAGAGACTCCCACGTCAATCGGACCAGGTTCTCCCTGCTCCGACAACTCCCGTCATGCTGTTCCAGCCACACGTGGTCAGAGACTTCCAGGCCGATCGGATCAAGTTCTCCCTGCTCCAACAACTCCCATCATGCTGTTCCTGCCACACGAGGTCAGAGACTCCCACACTGATCGGACCAAGTTCTCCCTGCTGCAACAACTCCCGTCATGCTGTTCCAACAACACACGGTCAGAGACTACTCACCTCCTCTCCAGAACTGGTCGTTCGCTCCCACCGGCACTATGAGACCCCTTCCCGGCTTCCCGAGCCTTTTCCTGGACCAAACCTCCGTGTCCGCCGAGTCTGGGTACTTTCCAGCCACATAGTTGACCTTTCACCTAACCGCAGCTTCTGGTTCAATTCGTTTGCTTCCTGTATCAGTCAAATCCACGAACTGTGAGTCTGCCCAAATGGGCTAAATCTCTGAACAAACACTATTGTTCGCACGTTAACGTCCTTACATAACGTCCATTCGGGACTTTTTAAGGCCTTAAGTCAGTTCGCCTACTCCTGCCTGCTCTTTATTCCATTCCCATTTCGTTAGTTTCCTTTCGTCAAATTTCTACCGAACTAGTCTCCAATCTATCTCAGTTACATGCTAATATCTAGCAGCCACTACAATCATAGTACCCATTCATGAATTTTACACTGTTCCCTGATACATGTAATGTCCAGGTTCTTTTGAATGCATTTAGCCTGCTACTAATTGTCCTTACACGCCCCCTGTAGTTCGGTTATGTTTGCTATGTCTCTTGTTATTATTTATGATTGTGCACGGATATTGTTAGGTTCCCATTACTAGTTCAGCTCTGGTGCGCGTTTAATATTCACTACGTGTATAGCATTTCCACCATATATTGCAATGTCTTATTCTATCACTTATGGACTTGGTACTGTTTTGAGGCAGTCATCATGTTCACATTTGTTACCATGTGTTATGGCCAATCTGTATACTTACTCCCATGATAGGTATTTTACTTATTTGGAGCATGACCACCTATTCGCTAAGCCTTTTTAGTAACACGCCACACTCCTATGTTCAGTATATGTATCGTCATGTTCCCTGGTACAAACCCTAGTGTACCAGGCTTTACCATACCATCATACGATCCCCTTGACTCTACGTCAAATAATCACTAACTAAAAGTTATTTTCTCATCGCTGTTATATTCTACTCAATCAAATTCATCATCCTAACCAACCCTTGCTATTTAGGCATGGCGTCACTAAACCTACATCAACTCCACTCTAACTGTTCTATGTTACATCAGCCAACGCTGGCATGCAATTCCTCCACAAGGACATACACGGCCCACGCCCGGGGATCCTTAATTCCCCACACATACACCCCCTTCCCATGCTGTCGTGACCATATAATTAAATAAGTCCTACCAGGAAAGCACATATAATTTCTAAGTCCTACCAGGATAGCCCAAACTACCCTCATAGCTTGGTATTTCATATTACCCTATACGTATTTTAGCTACAGAAGTCACAGGACCAATTAGCAGTCTCTCATGACTCTGCCTATTCCCCATTATTGTTGCAGTATCGGTAAAACACTCCCCCACAGTCTCTGGTAGTGGCCTAGGATCCTGACCCTACTCACTTATAGGGATATTTTATTTATGTCCTATGAATCTTGTACCCACCATGGTAGGGTCAGGATTCTAATGACTATGTCCTCAGGTTACCTACTCATAGCCCAGCCTCAAGAACAACCACCCCCATGATACAAGCGTATTTTCATTTATAGTAAGTCAAGCCAAATTCCAGTTCCAACTGGCCTCCCACCTTAATTTTCCCTCTAGGTTATGCAGTATCTCATTCCTCTGGCAAGTAAACCTCATTCTACCCCAAGCAAGGTACATTTACCCACCTCGCTACTACCCATCACCCGTCCCATTCGTGGATTGGGTATGTCAACTGGCAGTCTGGTTCCCAGCTAAGCCAGTAACTAGCCTCATCATTATCAATTCCTTTAGGCCAACACCCATCTTCACCCCTCGGCCCAATGCATAGCTAACGTCTCACATCAACCTCTCCAGGTTACCAGTAAGGGCCTCACCCAGCACGTCCTCTTATATTGACTCTTTTTTACAGTCCCCGAGAGGCCAACGTTCCCGCCACATCTTTCAGTGGCCCCTGCCCACTAGGCCAAATCATAGGTAGAGCCTCTCTTAGACACTTGGCTTTAAGGGCCTCACCCTCCTGGTAGTTGAGATAAATTCTTCACCTTTAGCTTTAGCTAGAGCCAGTTGATACAGAATCACGCTATTATTTGTTGTGCTCACCCCACTCCTATTTGGGTCTCAGCGTGTCTCTAATCCCAGAACAAGACAGGGACCTCACTGCCCCATACCCCAAACTGACTTCCCACACCGGCTGGGCCTAGCACCCATGCAGACTATCTGGAGCCTACTAACCCTTGTTCCCCACATTCCTGGACCATCCTAAAATTAACAAGCTGTACTACGGCATTTAGGGATTCCATTCCTGGCCACAGCTCGCAAATCAAACTATATACACTTCTGCTCAAATTACCAGTACACCTCAGCCGGGCACTAGCTCGCAGTCAGGTAATCTGGATAACTACAATGAAGTCAAGCAGTTGATATCCACTTTACTTGTCTCCATACAAAACATCAACGATGGACTAGAGAGACTGGTATCTCCACAGGCACTGACACACGGGCCAGCCACAGGGCTCCTAATCCCTCTCATGGTTATATTATGCCTTCAAATTCTGCCCCTAGCACATCTGTTTACATTGTCACTCCCGCGTACTTCGTGTCCCCAACCATACGCAAAGACATCTGGAAGGGTTAGTTTAGTTTCATTACTGAATCCCAGACTCAATCAGAAACTCACTATCCCAGAATTCATCCTGGCCTTCAGTCTTTTCGTGACATAAGTGACTCTACTTCTCCTCACCATAGAGAAGGTTTGCATCGACAACCTGGAGTTTTACCTCCAAGCACACCCTTCCCGTCACTTAGTCGACTTCTACTTCAAAGTTTTGACACATCATTTCCACACAGGTCTGGTCACACTCCCATCTGGTATTCATGAGTGTCAGCACCTCCAGTTCACATTAATAGACCCCGCAACACAATCACGTTGCTTAAGAAGGTATTTGACAACCCATATTAATTACACACCCCTAGCTTCAACTCATTGATTTCCTCTAAGGTATTCTCCCAGCACTATGCCATAGGGGATGACCAGAGCTTGGGTGGGCAAGACAGACATTTTCAACGCCTCCAAGCTTCTACCTATTCAGCCATCCCAAGGGCATGTTTGTGGCATTTTATGGTGGGATTGTCAGTACTTTCCCACACATTTAACTTTTAGAACAAAGAGTAACCCCAAGCTGTTTGTCTTATTTGTTAACATTCTATGTTGGCTACCACTCAATATTAGCGAATGTCCTGCAGTCACCTGGTTTCTTAGATGACTTCCTCACGATAGAACACCCTCACTCCACTCTGGTTAGTATTCACAAGACAATGGCACTTTTTCACCACTAGGAGTTCCACTTTCACAAGCTGATCTTCACGCTACAGAACAAGTCCACCTACAGAGAAGGTACAGCGCAACAGAGTCTGGGGAACCTTTTTCTTGCCAAGGGCACGCGTACCAGGGGGTCATCATGAGAATTATTCTTGAGGGCCACACATTTATTTCCCGACCACTGTGTCTTCTTCCCACCGACAGTTGCATTTTGGCACTAGTTGTGCTTACTAAAGCAGACCTACACATATGGCTCAGGTTCATACCACATTGGAATAGAAGGACAGATTATTCCCGCCATTTCTCAATATTCCCCAGTTACATGGACCAATGCAGCCGCACACACTGGTTTCACAGTCAATTTGGTGACTTTTGGTTCTGGGATTCCTGGCCAGTTGAGACTCTTGGTTAAAATCTTTCCATTCCTCCTCAGCATTGTTTGGAATTTACCCCACAGTGCCGCCTACAAGGCCTAGGGGTATGAGTGGATAGGGGAAACTGTCAAGTGCTTCTCTGACAATGGAGCAGCCGGCAATACCATCAATAAAGGCAGATCTTCATCCTTGACAATCATGGCTTATTAGACAACTCACCTGGTAGGCAGCAACACTACAATTTCACATCACGTGGGCACAAATTCCCGGTCATATGTACAAGCAGCTGACCCTTTATCTTGCTCTAATTTACAAGACTTCTTTGAAGCCCACCCAACAGCCAACAACATGCCTTTCTACCCCATGGCATTTGGCAGATTTCTGGATAGAGCTGCCCTCTCCAATTATACATCACGAGCATTCAATAGAGATTTCACCTTTACAACAAGTTTACCACCGATTACCATAATACCGATATTCTTTCACTAGTCGCCATCGTGACACTTCTCTCCTTTTTGCCCCCTCAATTTAAAACTCTCTCTTAACACTACAAAACTTTACCTGACTGAAATACAACACCATATCTTAAGTGCCTATCCTAGTACCAAACAGTTCACATCCTCTTACCATGTGACGAACGTACGGAGATAAGGTACTATCCTACGGACAATAAGGTGCCCGGTCAAAATGCCAGACCTTTACAGGTTATCACTCACTGGACTAAACCTCAATATGCTCCTATTTACACTGCAGGGCAAACCACTCACTACAGCTAAATTCATAATGTATCTCAGAACACTCTTAACTAGGTGGGGACTCGACCACAATGCCTTTTCGAGACATTCGTTCAGAATCGGGGCAGCATCAGCTGCCTCTAGACAAATGTCCCTGCTTACATCATAAACATTAGGATGCTGGAAATCCGCAGTGTATTACTAGATACATACCACAAACAGAGCTAGAGTTGAGTAGACAAGCCTTTATGAATCTTGCTACGTAGAGATATGTAATAAGGTTATTTTATTCAATTTTTGCCCTCTTTTATTACAGGCCTCCCCGATACGTCGGTTTCGGCATACCACAATCGACTTGCTCATATATCTAACTTATCATAGATACGGCTTTGGTCCCCGACTAAAAATTGGAAGGTGGAGCCTGAAGTTGTGGGAGGGGTTACCCCTGCTATTTAAACTCAGGCCCCCTACACCACAGGATTGATGCTGCCGGGTTCATCCCTCCCACCTCTCCCATTATACATATTACTATTACAGGTGGGCCCTCTTTTATTACAGGCCTACTCGATACGTTGGTTTCGGCACACCACAACCGACTTGCTGATATATCTAACTTATCATAGATACGGCTTTGGTCCCCGACTACAAATATATATATATAGCAAAAAATTAGATGAAAGGTGAACTCGCAGGTCTTCATTCAAA